TATAACTTTTTTGTTCACAGTTGTTTTAGATATGACTTGTTAATTGACAAGTGTTTTAAAAAATTGAAATAAAAATTACCTTTAATCTGTTGATTTAGTTAACGTTGGCTCATTGTGTCTGTGGCTTTCATATAGCTACACATTTAGTCAAAGTCGCTTCCCTGCTAAATAAATTTCAATTTTTATCAATAATGAGATTTATGTAGTGGCGAATTTTTTTTAAATTATTAACACATTTTATTTTAGGTACCCAATGAAGATCTAAAGATCTTGTCCCAGAGCACCACGGAAGAGCTTATAACTAGGTAAATGTTTCTGAAATCCATTTTGATAAAACTTTAGTATATTGTAAGTTATTCCATGCTAATTTATAATAGTTTTATCGTTGCATGCTAGGTAGTTCGCAGCTGTAGTCATTGCTCGTATCTTCTTGATGTAATATTTATAACGAGAAAAAGCTAATATATCTATATCAATAAATATAGTTGTATTTTTGTTGGTGTTATACCCTAATACAATAGTAGTGAAGATCTTTAATCGTCCTGCCGAAAAAAAAAAAAGATTTAACTTATAACTTGTAACTTACGTCACAAAAAACTCACTTAAATAACTCTCTTGAAAAGAAGCTCTTACAAAGAACATTGTTTAGTTAATTTAAACAGTTTTTATATAATATAGCGGTTTTTTTTTTTATAACGGTTTTATATACTTGATAACAAGGGTATCCATATTCCCTCGAAATATCGTAAAGTTAAATATAATTTTTGCAACTAGAAATCAATCCATCAAAAGAAGTTTTATTTTAAAATATTTATACAAATAAAATCTATTGAAGATGTTAACATTTAAAATTTAACTTACAAATATTATTCGAGAGATTTCTTGATATTCAATGTTCTAAATATTCATATGGAAAATTCCGAATTGAACTAGCGAAGTTAGAATTTTTTGGTCATATTCAAAAGCGTATTGGTACCAGACTACATAATCAAAGAAAAGCTCGAAATCATGAAGATAAACAAAATTCGCAATTGATAGAACTTTAAATTATTTTTGTATGGCGATTCTACAGGCTGCGGCTAATAATTTTTCAAATGAAAATGGAAAGGTGTACAAAATGAAAAAAAAAAAAAAAAAACTCATCCGTTATTACGATTACACGAACTTTCCTGATCAGTCTTATCGCCATGTGTTAAAACTTGCGGATCTATACAACTAGTGTAAATATAAATATAAATATATTTTGTAAAGAATGTACGGCCTTCAAAGGAGCATCCAGTTTTGCCACTGGTTGACAATCACTTTTTGCACTTGTCATTGAATGCACTAGACTATGCGACAGCAAATGGAATTATTATGTTAAGTTTTCCACCCCATTGCACCCACAAGTTGCAGCCACTAGATAGAACAGTCTATGGCCCTTTTAAAAAGGCTGTAAATACAGCCATCAACAGTTGGATGGTCAGTAACCCTGGAAAGGGTATGACAATTTACAATATTCCAGAGATAGTGAAGGTTGCCTTTCCATTGAGCATGACACCAAATAACATACTGAGCGGATTTTCTTCCTGTGGCATCCACCCATTTAATCCTCAAATATTTACAGATTTGGACTTTGCTCCAAGTTCAGTAACAGAAATGCCTATGTCAGTCAAAGCTAATCCTCAATTAACAATGCCTCAAGCTTCAGAGGTTACAGTCTCACCAGAACAATCCACTTGTGCTTCAACTTCAAGTTTGACTTTGTCATCACAGGAGCCTTCAACAATCCAAGCCAAATCAATTTCTGAATGCTTTGAGCTTGCATCTTCAGATAAAGTAAGGCCATTACCAAAGGCACTAGAAGAAAGCCTTCCAAAAACACACGCAAAAAGAGAACTTCGTCTATATTGACTGATTCCCCTTTCAAAAATTCTATCAGATCAGCACAGCCACTGCCAAAAAAATTCAAAAGTTCTGCTAAGGGAAAGGGAAAAGGCAAAGGAACAAAAAAGCATACACAAGACTCATCATCATCATCAGAAGATGAAACCTACTGTATTATTTGCATGGATACTTGGGCTAATAGCAGAGATACTGAAAAATGGATCAAATGCTGTGTGTGCTCAAGCTGGGCACATGAAAAATGTACAGCAGGAGGGTCCAGCTACATTTGGCATAACTGTGACTCTGATGATGATTATTAATGGTCATTTTCAAAGTGTTTTAGAGTATAAATTATAATATAATTTATATGTTTTTTTTAATAATTTATAAATGATTAATATAATACTTGTTTTCTATTTGAAAATATTTTTTTTTTACCTTTTAGACCTACACTTGTGATAAAATATAATTATGACAACTTGCCCCTCTTATCATGACAACTTGCCGCGACGGTGGGGCAAGTTGTCATACCGTGGAGCCTTCTTTAGAAATGGTGGCACGTTATACTCAAATGGTCTGAAGCTTTCCAAAATTGTTTTTTAAATAACTATAATGATAAACTACCATATAAAATAGTTTTATGAAAATTGACCAATTGGTTTTTGAAATATCTTGAAAAATATAAAAACGTATGACAACGTGCCCCGCTCTCCCCTAAACTTGTTGATCAAATTTTAAGATTATGAAAAAAAAAGTTTTAAAGACATAATTCTCTACTCATAAACATCATTTATTCTAAAAAATTACAGTGTTTAAGGTTTAAAAAAATCCAACATGTCATTTATTGCATACACACTCTCGTCGATTGAGAAGAACTCATTCGGAATGTTTCCAAACAATTTATCACCATATTCAATTTTTTTGACTTTAAGGGTATAAGTTTCCTCATACCTAATGCGACAAAATGAATTTTCAACAAGCTGTTGGTTTTTGGTGTTAGTAGATGTCGTAAGTACTCTGTTTTGAGACAAATTCTTTCAATTTTATTATTGTCTCGTTCAAATTAAAAAATTACAATCAACTTGGATTTTTTCATTCTCACAAGTCATTAGGTTGAGTTACAATAAACTTATTTATAGCACAACCATGATTTGCAAAAGAATGTGCATTGTAATTGTTAATTTGTTCCAATGAAAGAAATGCATGACTTTTAGACATGAAAAACTTCAATAAATAGCTCATTATTTCACATTATATCGACGTTGTACATGTTATCTGGAATTACTCCAGTTATTTCAATCCCTAGTTTTTGAATAGCAGAAAAATAATTTTATATGATAATCCAACACACGTTTCCTTGAAATGCTATAAGGTCTTTCTTTCTTTTAACAACATTTGTCAAGATAAAGTTTACACCATTTTCAACCAGGTTGGTCTTTAAACTATTGTCTTATTTTTTCCGCTAGATAGATTTTAACAAAACTTTTCAAATCATTAACAACAAATGGTATTCCTTTTATACAGATAAAGTAAGCGATTTTTAAAACTTCCTGATCAATACTAAAGACAATATGGTGCCCCATTGATTTACAGTGTTTATTTTTTAATTTATAGAATGTCGTTTTGGGTACTTCAAAAAATTTTGAAGCGTCAACAATCGACATTTATCCAATTTAATTTTCGCTAATTGCCTCTTAAGTGGAATATTATTAAGAGTAGAACCTAAGTAATTGGATTTGGTACAATATTTTCTTTTGCCAGGATGAGTTCTTGAACATTTTCTTGACATTTTTGAATGCTAAAAATATTCATATTATTGCTATTATTTAAAAATTAATTTATTAGTAAGATATTGGCAAAAATTATAAAAATAGCCATAAATATTAAAATATCAAAGTATGTAATAACAATAGTATCAATAGTAACAATACGTACCAAAGTAATAACATAGTCATTTTAATTAGGCTATAGGCTATTACAGTAAAAAAGGGCCGTCCATAAATTACGTCACGCAATTTTCAACCGTTTGTGACCCCTCCCACCTCAACACTACATCGTATCACTTTAGTCACAAGTGTTGTATGAGTCGTCATAAAACCACCAAGCCCTCCACCCCTTAGAGCGTGACATGACGTGAGCGAGGGCGACTCCAAAAATGTCTATTATTTATTATGTATTATTGCACTATTACCCAAACAGCAAGAAAAATATTTTTGGGTAAATTTGAATTGAAAATTCAAAGTTACCCTGATTTTGGTTATATATTAGCTGAGTGGAAATATATCCCTTTTGTAGCAATGTTAGTTCATATTATTTTGAATTTTTGTTGAAATCCGACAAATAATTCAATAAAATACAATAGTCTTACCTGATATTCACAATATAATCCATAATATTCACAATTTATTTAACTATGGTAAAACCTCTGTAAAAAAAGTAATTTATCATATTCTCGTTGGTTGAAGAACAGGCAAAGAAATTACTAAAGAAAAAAAAGAAAAAAAATTTAAAACATATACAGGTTTAATTCAATGTTGTTCGCAAATTCAATGTTACCCAGAATAACTGGATGAAAAAGTTTATTCTAACGTTCTGCACAGCGCGCTATAAACATTATTAGTTCAGCTTTTAGTATTTCTTTGATAATACTTGATAGGAAATAACACCTAAAATACTTTTCTCTAGTCAGTTTACATTTTTAATTAAAAAATAACTTAACGTAAGGGTTAACTGGCCTGACTAATTTTTTTTATTACTATGGTACTGCCTATAAAAAAATATATGTTCACGTGCCTTATTATTTTGTAATTTTTATACTGCAAGTGTAGATTTGTATAAATGTGCGTATAGACATCCTACATATAAACATAAGTAAATAAAATTTATTAATATTACATATGTATTACAATCACAAATAAAACCAACCATTTTACGTTGAAATCTCGCTGAGAAGCAAACCTGTTATTTCTTTAATAGAAAAAGTTTTTGAAAAAAACTTCATTAAAGAATCAAAAAATTCTCCAAAATGAGTTCAGTGAACTATTTCACCTGATTAGAAGTGAAGGATAAACACAGACACACACACACACTCACAAATTAAAAGCATTAGATTAAGGTATAAATAAAAACATCGCTTTCATTTGAACATAATTTCTTCCATTCTTAATTACCATCACAATAAAAATCTTCTTGAAAAAAGTCAAGCGAAACGTTTTCAACAAAGTTTTCGCTTTCATTGCTTTTTGATTTTGCTGAAACAAATTTTTTGTCATCGTTGGTACTTTTAGATGGATGTTTATCGTCCTGCAAACTATCGTTTGGATTGTTTGCAGTCGAATGGAACGATTTTTCAGTGCCATCGTTATTATATTCTGTATCATCGTTTGGTTTTTTAATTTGTAAATTATCGTTGCTTTCGCTTTTCCTTTTTCTTCTTTCTTCAATAAATCGATTATCACGTTTGAAGCGAAACTTGTTAAATTTCCAGCCATTAAAACCAAGAACATAAGTTTCCCAGGAACGGTATAAACTAAAAACAAAACATTTCAGTTTAAGAAAATCAATATCGGAATATTCAAGGTTGCCACTCAAATTTCACAAGTTTTTTCTTGAGTTCACGAATAAAAGAACGTTTTCTCGCTAAGTTTAGTTTTTTAAATTCCCTGAGTTTTCCATTATCTTCCCAAGTTATTACCAAGATTTTGATAAATAAAAAAATATAACTACCATGCAATTGCGTTTATATATATATATATATATATATATATATATATATATATATATATATATATATATATATATATATATATATATATATATACACATATATATTTACATTTCTTTTTAAAGCAGTTGTCAAACCATTTTTGTCGGAATCTTCAACAGATGAATTTTAACAAATTTAACATTACTTACAATTGTGGTTCGAAATTCATTAAATCTGTGATATAATCTTCTCTTTCCATTTTATGACCACGTGATATATTAAACACTAAAGTAACAGGTAATTTAAAATTAAATTAAAAAAAAAAGAGGAAGAAACAATATTATTTTATTATGGAACTACATGGTAACACAGAATTTTAAAAGCGAAATTTCAGAAACTTCCAAATACAGTTAATTCCCGATAACTCGAACCTCCAAGGGACCAAGAAAAATGGTTCGGCTTGACTATTGTTCGACTAAAGCGAATTTCCGTTAAGTTGAACTTTAATTAATACGAGATCTTAGTTCGAATTAAGGCAATTTTTCTTTATTTAATACTAAAATATAAACATTAAATATACACCATTATACTAAAAAAAAATGTGAAATGGTTTAGTAAAAAAAGTTACGTTTTGTATTCAATCTGTACAATCTAGTGTTGTCACAGTACTCGGTACCAACACGGTTCTTTATTAAAAAAAGTAGTTACAATAAAAATCTTTCCAAGTACCAAGTCGGTACTAGCAGTGCCAAGCAATTTTAATAGAACAATTGTGATATTTATAAAGCCCGTTATTCTTTCAGATATTTTTCATTATTACCGTCTATAAGCGTTATGGCGTAAAATAAGGATGACTTGCAGTTTTGTTAAAGTACTTTTCCATGCAGATGAATCTAAATGGAGATGAATTTAAATGGAGAGTGGAATTAAAAAGCTTTTAATTAAGAAAATTAAAAAACAAAATTAAAAATGAAAACCCGAAGAACAACACTAATAAAAAAGAAAGGGTGTCAAAGCAAGATATGGAAGTATTTCTTGTTTGCAACCAATGGCAAGGGTAATACATTCTTTGTTACACGTAGAACAATAAAAACCCTAGGAGTTTTCATCAGTTTTATTTTTTTATTAGTTATTTTTATTTTTTAAAAAAGCATGAGTACGCCATCATAGGCAACTACTGCTCCAATGATGGCATAGGGAGGATGGGGCTGGTTAGCATCAAGGGTAACTTGACAATTTCATTTGACCTTAAAGTTTCTCCCTCAGAAATGCCAAAAATTACGCGTAATCATTTTAGCTAAACCTTTCGTGCTACACAGCAGCAGTGTAGAAATTCGTGCATTTTTTGTTTGAAAAACACAAAAAATGCAATATCTCTTATGCATGCGCACAAGAGATATTAATATCTCTTATTTTAAACATATTTGTTAGTTATTATAATATCTCTTATGCATGCGCATAAGAGATATTATAATAACTAAGAAATATGTTATTTTTATGAAGAAAAAAAAAAGAGGTTTTCGTCAGTATGCTATCATAGGAAGAAGTCATTATTTTTATTTAAAAAAACTTTGTGTCTGCCTTAGTAATTTTTTTAATTCATTGATTTATAAATTCAAAAGTGCCCTAGCAAGATTGTGGCGAGTGAGAGTCAGTCTCACTCGCCAGAACCTTAAAATCACTTAAAAATCTCTTAAAATCAAGTCTTAAAATCACTTTTTCCAAGATTTCTGAAACTTCCAAAAAATATCCCGAGTTGTATATTTCCGGGAAATTTTCACCCCTACATTAAAAAGATAGATATTCTGATTTAATGAAAAAGTTCAAGGTGTGTTTATTTTATATTTACTTGTTTTACAAAAGTCTATGGTAACTTTTTTAAACCACTATTATTATTACTTTAATTATTAATATTACTATTATTATTATTATTATTAAAATAAAAGTTTCCTTATTTAGGACTTAAAATTTTTTTTTTAAATATATTTCTATAAGATTGACGTATTTAAAAGTTTAAATACTTAATGACAAATTATAACTGGTTGACTTGCTTTTTTCCTTTATTGGACATAAACACTTCGTATTAGTATTTTATTTATAAAATTTTGTTTTATTTAAATTAAATTTTTTTTTTCTCTTGAAACTAAACATATTATCTAAAGATAAACAGACAATATAACCAATCCAAAAAAAGTTAAACGGTTAAATATCATTTATTTAATTTTAGTGACATTTAAAATTAGTGCCTACAGTCTTTTTTTTTGAAAAGATTTATTTAATTCTACAATTTTTTGACCCTAAAATAGAATTAAAATCTTTTATCAAAAAACCACTTCATATCTTTTTTGACAGCACCATAAATGAAGGTTATGGTGCCGTTAAAAACATTCCAAATAAGGTTTAAAGCTTAATTTGGAATGTTTTTGAAATTCATAGTGATCTCTGATAGGTAGCAGGTTAGTCCTTTACCAAAAATTGTTTTTGTAATGTATTTTGTGTTACCAAATAAAAAAAACTTAATATAGTTTAAGCTATCCGAGGTTCAAAATTTTATTAGTAATCAATTAGACAATTTCAAGGGACCAAATGAAACAGAGATAAAAAAAGTTCGAGTTAACTAGTATTCACTTCCAAGGCATATGTATACTGGTTCTAGCATGTAATATGCAGGAGAAAGTGTACATATATCAAAATTTATTTTTTGTTACAAATTTCTATTATCCTAAATACAATTACTCAAGTAATGAGTTTAGAAAGTATAAAAATGAATATAGAATATAGATATAGAAACAGAAAAAAATTATTACTAATAAATTTTTTACTTTTCCAGACAAAAGCTAGGAGATTTACTTTGACTTAAAATTTCCCTTGGAGTTCGAAAACTACTGATAGTGTCAATAAAAATATTCATCCTAGACAAATGTTAATTGCATCTTGCTAGTCTTGTAAAATTGTTTTCTGCCTAGGATGATTAATGCTGGATCATCTTAACTTATGGATTTTTGCTTTCTATTGAGTATACAACTCTGAAATTGATGGTTCTGATGCCAACTGGTGACAAGGTTTCTTGAACTATATGGTGGCTCTCAGAGGAGCTGAATTCTTTACAAAAAAAGCAATGCAGCATCAAGAGAATGAAGTCTTTTTTTGGAAATGTTACATATTGTGGACCCAGACAATCAAATTAACATGATTTATTAACATAAATTGACAAGCCAACAATTTATGTTAGCTACCAAAAAACAATTTATCTTCATTTATTAACAAAAATTAACATAAATTGACAAGCAAAGAAAACTTTGACAATTGACGATTCAATTCAAAAATTTGAGCAGCTTGATTAAAATAAGCTGTTGATCAAATCAAAACATTGCACTGAAATTAATCAAGTTGCAGGTAATTGCAGAATTCAAATCAGGTTACATATGGGATTTCAACATTTACACACAAAAAAGTAGCAGTACAAATGATAAAAACCTTCTAAACTTAAAAGTTTGCTATGAAATTAACCAAGCTTCTGCTCAATTAAAAGATACCATGTATACTTTGATAATTTCTGAGAGAAAAAATGGCAAAATGTAGACTAAAAAGAGGAAGCAAGGAGACATTTTTGGAACGATAAAACTTTGTTAGTACAATGTGTGTTAAACGCACAAAAATAAAAATAATTCTCACCTTTTGAACTTTCAGAAACACAAATGAGACTTGATTGGTCTTAAGAATATGCCGTAAAGTACAAATCAGATTTATTTAAAAATAATTTAAGTTATGTATTTTATGTTGTGTAATTTTAAGTGTTTTGTTGTGTCTCAATATTTATTCTTCTATTTGCAATTATACTTCTGCAATTTTTTTTTCTATTTGCAATTATATTATTATAAAATAACAAAAAGAATACTACTTTAAAAAAAAAAAAAAAAAGACTTTTTTATAAAAACTTTTATAAAAAAGATTTTTCTTTTGAAAACCTAAATACTATGCGGCTTTTTCCTCCATTATGGATTATCATATCATTAGCAACAACAACAAAAAATCATACAATTTTGTTCAAAATTATACTAGCTTTTCAAAAACGCATAACATTGTGCACTTAAGACTTTTTATATATTTCTGTTTATGAAAGATTCCTTAAAGATGTCAGGAAAGAGTTAATGAAACTAACTAGCAATTGGCTAATAATTAAGCTTTTAATAGTAACTAAACTCCTACAATCAGTCTCTAATGCTAAGCCGTAGATATGCTAGAGTATAAGTTACAGTTATAGCCTGCTCTAATATCAAAATTTTAATGTGGACTCTGTAATAACTAAAACATTTCTAGATTTTATGTTTATAGTGTTGTGTTGATCATGTTATAGCTGAAACTTTTTGCACTATTTCGTTTTTTTAAATTTATAACTATGAACCATTTATAATATACAACTAGATTGATAATTTACTTTATAAAATAAAACTCAAAAATCAACAACAAAAAAATCCCTTACTTTGAATAGCATCTACAGGGTTAAAACCAAGAGATTGGATAAGATATCTACATACAACATAACCTGTTCTATTTACTCCATGTGTACAATGTATTCCAACAAGTCCTAAATAAAATATAAAACACAATTTAACAATTGAACTTAATTTAATTAGTCTAATCAGAACTTTTTAAACATATTTGGTATAATTAGTCTAACCAACAATGCATTTGACATAACTATAAATTAACAATATAACGGGTTATGAATAAGTTTTTAGATTAGAATAAAAGCCTTACTTTTGGAACAAATTTTTTTATTTAAAACACAAAACTTAAAAATAATATTTAAAAATATATCTTTTTTTAGCATTTAAAGAGAGAAAAAAAAAGAGTCACCATGTCTTCTTATATGATTAAGCGATTTCCTAAACCCAAAACATGATTTTGTATAAACTCAAGATCCATTTTGCCAAGACAGTAAATTATTCTAGACTTGCTGTCTAATTGCATTCATAAAACTTTATTTTTTGTTTCCCCAAAAGTCTTTTTGCATTTAGTTTATTTACCATACTTTTTGCATAATGAGCAGATGCCAAGCCCGGCCAAAATACGTACTCTCCTGTACTATAAAATTTATTTATAAAAGGTACTAAATACTTTTTAATTATGGTTTCCATGTAGACTGCTTGGTTCACTGCCATTCCTGATGGAACAAAATATGGCTTTGATACACCTTTTGGTGAAATACATAGCCAAACCAATAATTTTTTTTGTGTTTGGCTTACTAATCAAACTTTACATGCGGGGGAGTCAGAATTACTTGAATAAGAACCAGATTTGAACCAGATTTACCAGGTTGCGACAAATGAGTTTAAGTAAAGATCGTCTAAAACAAAATCAATATTTTTATATTCTTCTAACATTTTTTGACACTTAGCTTTGGCTTGCTTCTTCAGACTTTTAGTTGGAAGTGGTCTTTTACATTTTTTACAATATTTGATGTTAGTTCTTTTGTTTAAAACCTTTGAAATGTGACTTTGATGACATTTTAGTTTTCTGGCAACATGATTTTGGGAAGAGTCTTCCTATCATAAGCAAGGTTTTTCATTCCTATCAAATTCTTCCTATCATAAGCAAGGTCTTTGAATCTTTAATTAACAAACACTTAATCTCTCATCTTGAATCTAATAACTTACTGATCATCAATATGGATTTTGATCTTCTCGTTCTACGGCTGATTTGCTAACAATAATAACCGATAGGTTTTATCACGCTAAAGGTGGTTTATCAGATAAAGGTGGAGAGGTTAAGGCCATCGCTCTTGACATTTCTAAAGCGTTTGATAAAGTAACACATGCTGGTCTTCTCCATAAGCTTTCGTCTTACGGTCTGGAAACATCTTTAAGATTATTGAATCCTTCCTTTCCAATCGTAGCATAAAAGTTGTCCTTGATGGACAGCACTCTTCTTATTCTGTAACCTCAGGGGTTCCTCAAGGTTCAATCCTTGGCCCTATACACTTTTTAATTTACATTAATGATCTTCCAGATATTCTTACATCTAAGGTGGCATTGTTCGCTGATGATACTACCATTTATTCTTGTCATGATAAGAAGGCAACTCCCTCTGATTGCTTGCGGGGGTATTTGAGCTTGAAAGGGATTTCACTTCTGCTACAGCATGGGGCTTACAGTGGCTGGTGAACTTTAATTCAGATAAAACTCAATTTTTTTCAGCCAATCATTATCGCAATAATTTAGACCTTCCTTTATTTATGAACGGCAATGTACTCAATGAGTCATGCTTCTCTTTATCAAGCTCAACACTTTCTTACTCTGGATTCTATTCTCTATCTCTATAAATCTCAAATCTGACCTTGTATGGAATACTGTTGCCATATCTGGGGTGGATCTTCTAATGATGCCCTTTCTCTTTTAGACAAGGTGCAAAAACGCATTCTAAACATAGTTGGACCTGCTCTTGCAGCCAACCATCAACTTTTGTCACATAGTCGTAATGTTGCTTCTCTTTCTTTTTTCTACAAATACTATAATGGGCACTGCTCTAAAGAGCTAGCGTCTCTTGCGCCATCTACAAAAATTCATTCTCGAATTACTCGTCATTCAATTAAGTCTCATCCTTTTTCTGTCAAACTTGATCAAACTTTTTTTAATATATTGAATGTTGACTTTTGATGCAATTATAACAGGTCTACCACAAGATATTTTGCTTTCCAATGCACTGTTAGTTTCAATAGACTTAATCCAATTGTAAAGAGTTGATTTTGCGTACATATAAAATGGTTAGCAATTTCCTTTTTTGTTTATCAGGATTATTTTTCAAAAACTTGTACAAATTGTTCTTAATGTTTTCATATTTTGACATTATTTAAAAAGCATTAAATAAAATAAAAAAAAAAAAAACTAAATTTAACTGAAATTTTTATTTCAATCATTTTTATATTTTAAATTAATAATCATACAGGTCATATTTAAAAAACATTTTGCAAAAAAAAAATATATATATATATATTTATCTTAATCTTTAAGCTAACAACTTTCTCAATTTTTTTTTTAAACTCATTTTTTGTATGGGTATTGACTGAAAAAGTTAATAATAAAAAAAAAATTGCAAAAATATATATTTAAATTTCTATTCACAAAAAAACTTTTTGGAAATCTGGAAAAACTATAAGTTGAAAGAAATATCTGTTATTATTCAAAAAACATAATTCCGTTAAATGTTAAGACAGAAACACAATATTTTTGCAAGTACTTGACATCATTTTCTGGATCATCATTTCTGGCTCAGAGTTACTTTTTTTAAGCTGTTATCCACTCTTTCTTAAAATTTTTTGTTGTTGCAATGCTTCAAATAAAAAATTCTAAAACAATAAACTTTAAAGAACCCCTTTATAATTGACCATTAAGTTTCAAAAAAGATGATTTGGATATTTTTAGGTACTAATTAAACACCTTTTGATCATAACATTCTAGAGACTACTTGTAGCCAAATCAGGTCAAAATAGGGCATATCATGGTTCTTAATGAATGGTAAAACATATTTTATAAAGCATTTTCCTATATACAAATACAAGCTTAAAAGCTGACAAGTAAAACATGGAGCAGATTGCTTGTCATAAAAGCAAGCAAGTATGCTCCATGTGAGTAAATTTCTTGGTTGGAATATACTTAGATTTCTACCTTTTGACTGATAAAAAATGATTAGCTCGCCTGGCTGAAAAGTCCTCATTGCAATGGGCTTCATCAGCTTCAATTATGCACACATTTTCTCAGTTTAAAAATTTATATAGCTTTTTTAAACAAGGAACTGCTTTAATTTCTCAATTAATGGATTGCTTTGGAGTTTTTTTTATGATGTTATGATGTTCTTTATATTATTATTTGATTTTATGATGTTCCTTATATTCATCTTTAAAATCTTTTTATTTTTTGTTTTTCTTTTGATTAATTGAGTCTATATTACTAACGACAAAGATGTACTTTGAAGAAAATTTATAATTTTTTAGATAACATGTCTGATGTCATACTGAAATAGCCTGCTGCCAAGGGTTTCAGTACATACATCAACTATCTTAAAGCCTGTTACCGCAAAGGAGTGCCACTACATCAACTGAGGGTTTGGGCTGGAGCAGCAATCTTTTCTTTCATTATTCTTTATTTTTCGCTTCTTTTTCTGAAAAAACTGTATGCTATAAAACTGTATGCTACAAAGATAATGAGTAAACATATAATGCTGATCGATATACGCTAACGCTATAGTATGAATGCATGCATGCATGCATGCATGCATGTATGTATGTATGTATTTATGTATGTATGTATGTATGTATGTATGTATGTATGTATGTATGTATGTATGTATGTTTGTATGTATGTATGCATGTATGTATGTATGTATGTATGTATGTATAAATATATATATATATATATATATATATATATATATATATATATATATATATATATATATATATATATATATATATATATATATATATATTAGGGCTGTACCGCGTTTAATTTTTTCAAATCCGGCCGGAGCCGGATTTGCCGGATTTCTACTGACAGATCAAGCCGGAATCGGAGCCGGATTTCAAAAGAAAACTACAGGAGCCAAAATCCTGTACATCCCTACTTGGTGTTGAGCATGGTCAACAATGTGGACTATTCAGAATACCAAGTGACTGCTTTTTTCTGTTAAACTTCATTTTTGTTATTTAAAAAGTTTTATAGCAATTTCTATATATAAATTAATAGAAATTCTAAAGAAATTCTATAGGCCATATGTTTTAAAAGTTTATAGTAATTCTATTGAACTTTTTTTCTGGGATTTTGTCACTCCGCCACTGTAGTGGATCATTGTGTCTATTTATTTCTGGTTCTTTCGAATATTTCCTTAGCTGAGTTTCAATGCCTTTTAGTAATTGTTGTTTATGTGCCCTGCCACCAGCGAACGTAGACTGAATAATTTTATCAATAAATTGCCAGAGTAATGATGATGATGATGTAGAAAAATTATTAAGCCCGGCTTATTTTGATGGATTTTCTTCACTTTTGTCAATCTTCTGTTCAGCATGCTCAGATTGACTTCAATCTTGTTTTTTCAGCTCTCAGTGTTGCCTCTAATGAGGAGAATTTTAAATTGTCAACCAGCCTCGTCAGTATATAAAGAGGTTTCTCTTTTCAATGCTTTTAAAACGCTCATCCAATCACTTGATTAGGGTTGACATCATAGTCTTTATACCTGCATCATTGTAGAATATCGTGTGTCTTCCCTTCAGAATTTTTTGTTGAGTTGTTTGAAATTAGACTAAGCTTATTAAATTATAAAGAAATATAAATACAAATACCAAAACAAATATGAGGTTCATAAAATATAGAATTACAAAAAAAATTGATTTTTATAAATAAAATATTAGGTATACATGTAAACACGGGCAAAAAAAATGTAATAAATATTTGACAAAATTCAAAACTCCGGCTAAAATTATGCCGGAGCCGGATTTGGGCCGGATTTGTAAAAACGGCCGGATTTTGGCCGGAGCAGGAGCCGGAATCCGGTACAGCTCTAATATATATATATATATATATATATATATATATATATATATATATATATATATATATATATATATATATATATATATATATATATATATATATATATATATATATATATATATATATATATATATATATATACATATATATATATATAATATATATATATATATATATATATATATATATATATATATATATATATATATATATATATATATATATATATGAACTTTTAAAAGTAAGACCATTTTATCTGAGGATAACTATTTATTGTCAGAACATGCATTGGAAATATTAAATGATTTTAAAAAAATAAATAAAAGTGGTCTTGTTTTTAAAAGTACTCAAACACTTTGTGCTACAAAGAAATTTTTTGGAAAACTATATATACACACACATATTAAAATAAAAATAAATCTTAAAATTTGCACCAAGACACTTAAAAACTCAACAAACACATAACTGACAAAATTAAACACACTATGAGCCATTCAGTTTTTGACAACTATCACCCAAAATGTGACATAAATACATAAGGAACACATTGGTTTATCACTTACTTTTGCTATCTCGCCCATGGCGAAATATAACATCATTGAGAATACGCGTCACTCTAAACAAATTTTCCGCTTACAAAATGACATTCTTAAACTAAATGTTTAAATTAAAAATATTTTTAAAGTTTGAAAACAAAAATACTGGTCAATAACTAACATACCGATCAATAACACAATCATCTGGGACTATACGGCCTTCACATTTTAACTTTTCATATTGAATTCTTTGTTCGCAAAAAAATTCCTAATAAAAAACAAAAACTTAATTAACAATATAGTCAACGTTTTTAATATCAAAAGAACAAAAACTGTTCAATTAACAAATCCATAAAAAGTATATTATTTAATCATAAGAAAAAATATTACATACCCCATTGTAGTATCTGAATGTATTTGTCAAGTCAATAACAACTGCTAGATCTAACCCGTCATCCCAAATCTGATTGCACAAATCATATGGTGTAAACCTAAGTAAGAACAAATTCCATTAAAAATCTTTTTTAATATAAAAAAGAATTTGGATTAAGCACACATTTTAAAAATTATAATGTCCAAAAGTATTGTGCAGATTTTTTAGAACTGAATATTTTTTTTGATTACCTCAGGAAATGGTGTTAAAAAAATAATTATGACATAACAATTTATAGCAGAGACTTAATTATCTCGCAGCCATAATTTGTGACTAAAGCTTTCCCATAACAAAAATTTTTATTAACATGATTAGCTTTTGAATGAAAAGTCGAATTTCTTTCAAATTTTCACTGGAATGTAAAAAAATTGATTTCAAAAGTAAATTTTTATAAAAATTAAATCTAAGCATTTTAATCTAAAAAGTTCAGTTAAATGAAATATGTATCAAAATCAAATGTGTATCAAAATGCATATGCACACGCAAAAGTATCTGGGCAGGATTTTTTTTCTGTGATTCCACAACAAGTAAATAAAATGAGTACTTTAGCAAATTTAGCTAAAGTTTTATAAAATATCCTGTAATTAAGTTTAATATTTCTTTCTATTTAACTTGCTCGGTTTTGAAAAAGGTGTACTAATCCAACATAATAATTATTACTTAATTCCTAACACAGTAATATCTCTCTAATTCGAAAACCTCCATAAGTCGATTAAATGCAAAGGCACCGTGAAACGCCCTTAAGAAACTCTTATGTTTAACTTTTTATAATTTGAATCTCTACAATTCGAAAACATCTACAATTCTAATAGATTTTTTATACCCGTTTAATATTCTCTCTGTAAATCGAATTTTTTTAAACTTCTGACCTGTAAAAAGCTTGTTAAACCATCAAACTCTTTTTTCAAATTTCGAATGTTTTGAGTTTTTGAAAAACGATTAGTGTGAATTATTTTCTACTGTTTAAAAAAGATCATGGCATCAAAGAGACAGCATAAAGAAAACAATAGAAAGCTCAAATAGAATTGGAGAAAGACGTTTCTTCACTCTTTCTACCTGGAAGAAGAATAAAGATAAAATCTTTGACACTTTTTGTCAAGGAAATTTGACTAAATGGGTGAAAGTTGATATGATTACCTAGTAAACAAAGCTGTACTTAAATGGTTCGAACCAATAAGAGCTGATAATGTACCAATTAGTGGTTTGCTGGTAAAATAAAAAGCTTTACATTTTGCAAATTAGTTATGCTTCAAAAATTTTCAAGCTTCAGAAAGAATGGCTACACTAATTTAAGAAAAAGCAAATTAATTTGGAGAAATTTAAGGCTCTTAAAGATATAATTATAAAGGTCCTCCTGCTCTTATTAACAATTCTATATCATTGTCCAATAAAATACTGAATGTATTTAAAATGAATAAATGAATCTAGTATCAACTTTTTATACTTTTTACAGAATTAATTCGTAATAAGTGATATAATTATTGGTAACACAACTATTGATTTATTAGTAAACCAGTTTATTCTGATCACTATTTGTGACTTCTAGTGCTTATTATTAAGGCATCCACTGGAAAATTTTTTGTATATAAAAATGGAAATATGCGCATGTTTTCACTTTATGCCAATAAAAGTCATGACTTAAATGGCCATACAAATTGGTTTTAAAATAAGCATTTTAAAAATATTAGACCAAAAAATTATATTTAAAGCAACTTACTCATCCTCTTTCTGAATTCCGCCTGGTTGATTGTTTTGTTGATTAGGATCATTACGCTAAAAATGTCATAAAATTAAAACATTTATTATTACATTAAAATATCATCAAATAATAAAAAAAAAAAAAAAAATGAAACCATTAGCCATATTTTATTATCTAAGTAAAATTATTAACTTTCCATATGATTCATCTTCTCAAAACCAAAGCAAAAGGTTACTACAGTCTTACTCTTGCAGTACTTTTATTTTTATTTTTCAATAGACAAACTTTCTCTAAATCCTTTAAACACAAAATATGAATAAAGGCAACCTTGATTACTGTACAGAGTACTTGATTGCTGTACTAACCGAGACATGACAAAGTTTAAAACAATACAAAAATTGCCCTAGTGATAATCAAAATACAAAAATTAACAGCCCATGTTAAACAGAAAAAATGTAACTTTTTTTCTGATTTCAAGCCTTTACAGGAAATGTGTGTGGTTTTTTGTTTTGTATGTCCATGCAGTAGTATTTTATTTTAGACAACTTGGTCACGGCCATTAGCAATTTTTTTTATATTAGGCATTGCACAAAAAAATAAGTATTAAAAACAAGCAAAGCAGAGCTAACAAAATAGGAAATTAAAATAATATTTATTCTATTTAAATAAATAGCAAAAAATAAAAATAAAAAATGAATTAAATAATTTGTGTACTGTTTTTATTTCTTTAGAGTGGTTGTTATATTATCAATAATTGAATAACAATTATTATTATTATTAATTGTTCACCAATAACATAGTAGACCAAAAGAGTGGAGGCGGGTAGAACTAAACGCACTGAGCGGAATATTAAAAAGCAATATGTATCCAAAATTACAAAGCGCTAAAAGATCGAGGATAAAAAACATACAAGAATAGAAAGGTGAAATTATTAAAATAATAATTGAAACAATTAAAGTGTGAAAAATTAAAGTGTGCTATGTAAAAAATATGTAGACGAAATGGCCTAATTGAAGCTTAAAAACTATGTATATATGTGTGTGTGTGCCTTACTTAGAAAATACACTGAAAGACTTAATTGGTATAAGAAATTAAAATGTGAAGATGTGGATCATTCATAAACACACAACAAAAAGATTTTTATATACAAAAAAGAAAAGATAAATAGTTACAATGCAAATGTATATATCGCTGTATTTGAAGGTAAACAATTTAAAATTATTGTTGGTGGGATTCAAACCGTGGACATACCGTGTATGAAGTAAACGCTAAGCTAAATGTGCATATACTTATGAACAAATAAATATAATTATATAGTAAAAAAAGTTATATAAGCATACACGTGCATTACATAAACATTATCATATAGGGACAATATATACTTTACATATATACGCTACAATATATAGGTTACATTAAAATTATACAAACTTATTTTACAAACAGATAGCAATTTATATTTTTACTTTCCTCTTTAAAAAAAAATATATATATATATATATATATATATATATATATATATATATATATATATATATATATATATATATATATATATATATATATATATATATATATATATATAGGACAAATCATTCTTTTTAATGTCAACTTAAAACTGATTTTATTTGCCTTGCTTTATCAAACTTTGTTGCTGAAAATTACAACCACTCTAAAGAAATAAAAACAGTACACAAATTATTTAAATTATTTTTTATTTTTATTTTTTTTATTTAAATTTATATTAACTTCCTATTTTGTTAGTTTTGCTTTCTTTGTTTTTGAAAATTAGTTTTTTCCACAATGCCTAATATAAAAAAACTTGCAAACAGCTGTGACCAAGTTGTCAAAAATAAAATACTCATGCATGGACATACAAGACAAAAAACTGCACGCATTCTTATTTAGGTCTCTAATTTACAACTTCTCTGATTATCTTTCATTACTGACCTATAAATTTCAAAACTAGCATCTGCTATAGTTGCCGCTTTAAAAATGCATTATAAATTTAGTTAGACTTGCTCTGGCTGTCAAGCTTGAATCTGTCTCTTTATCATTAGAATGCAGTTTTGGGTTTTGTACAAACAATGAATGGAAAGTTATGAAGTAATTTGGCTATGATCTTTAAAGTAAGACTTCAAAAATCATAGCCAAAGCTAATTTTTTTGACAAATAGATATCGCCAAAACAACTGCTGTGCATCTTTTTTCACTTATCTAGTTTTTGTTAGTAATATGCCAATTGCAAACTGTGAAGCTTTTTGCAAACCAAAACATAATTTAGAGATCAAATATATTTTGTTAAATCAAATATAAATAAATTTACATATTGATATTTCATAAATTAATAAGAGTAAATACAGTGACTGACTGTAAGCATAATTAAATTAAAAGAAGGGTGGGGGGAGGGGGAAGGGTCAGGGTTTAGTCATGATTATAGTCTAAAAAATAATTTTGCTGGTTTGCAGTTTAAACATTAGCCTTTACCTGAACTAGGGAACTTTATTCTCACGATAAACCATATCTAAAATGTTTGTGAAAATACCTCTGTCCATTAATGTACTGGTTGTGATTCTTTTAAATGAATTTTCAGTAAAATACGCTATGATGTCATTGTTTAATGTTTAATTATGTAATATTTTGCCTGAAAACAACCTGTTAGTTTGTTGCCCTAAGTTTATTAGTAACAAAGATTCTATCACCATGAAACGCATCCTTTTAATCAAAACAAAAAACAAAAAACAATAGTACAAAATACCCTAACTTTTTTGAGACTGCTAAAATTCATAGAACAAAGCTATCATTAAAAAAAAAACAAAAGTGAGAACTCTCAGTAAAAAAATTGAATACTGAGCTAAAAACTCTAAGCAAGAGAAGAAAAAAAAAGGAATGAAAAATAAGTTATGAAAACATGAGTATAATACCTGTATAGGTGTTTTAAATGCTATAATTGGAACTCTTTCAATCGGCTTTCCAATTCTAGTATATTCCAACCATCTAAAAATAAATTGTTTATAACTTTTATTAAAACATTTTTGAAATAAACTCTTTAGAATAAGATGGTCAACAGGCTCTCTATATACACAGGGATTGCATCTTAAAATTTGAAATTCCAGAATACCGGAATTCGTTTTCTTAATATAATTTCAAATTCCAAAAATATTTCTAGTGAATTCCGAAATTTATTTTTTCGTGCTCTCCAACTTTTAAATTGTGTTTTTGTTTCTGTACATATAAATATTCTACATTCCAATTCTATGAGAAGAAATAAAGAAAACAATTGTAAATTACAGTTATCCTGCATAATACAAGAAGACAGAGAAAACATTCCTAAATTGCAGTTTCAAGCCTTCATTTCATATCTACATGTAATAATTTGAGATTTGCTTATTGTGTTATTGCATTATTACGTTATTGCAGTTAACGGTTTCATGTCTTTATTTCATATCCACATGTAATAATTTTTTTTATTTGGTATAACCTTGTGTTCGTGTCTTATTTTACGATTATCAACAGTGTTGAGATTTGCTTATTGGAATATGGTGTGTATTAAATTATTTGGATCAATATTTTTTAAATATGTAAGCAAATAATAGCAGGAATAATAGCAGTTTTAGTTTAACAACATTATTTGATAACTATTTAATTTTAATTTTGTTTTGTTTACTAAATTAAATTATTATCAACAGTACATATTAAAAGCAATGTAAAAATCAAAATTCTGTTTGGATTCATTTTTTAAGAGGATCAAAAAAACTAACAACAAAATGTAAAATATATTATGAAATAGTAAAAACTGCTGGTTCAACAACAACACCGCAACACACGCATTTAAGAACAATACATAACATTATTGTATTAAAAAACAGGATGGTGTGCAAGATGAAGGTCCAGAAAGCAGCACATCAAAAATGATGATTACGAATTATTTATTCAACAAAGATGAATCACTTTCTGCAATCGTATCACAAATGTGTGTCTTAGATAATGTCATTCAAAGTTTTCTGTATGTCTATTTATTTGAGAAATTTGTTTTTGGCTAGAAGTGGTCGAGATTATGTATTACCAAAATCATTTAACTTGATTTGAAAAATGGTTTTAAAATACAAACAAAAAATGCGAGCTGAAATGATGCAGGATTTTATAAATTTAAAAGATGGAACAAGATTTTGCTTAACTCTAGATGAATGGAAATCTTCACGAAACCGATGTTATTCAAATATGGGAAGAAATGAGCGCGAGAGCTGCCAAAAGTTCTTCTAAAACGAGCATGGCGAGAAATGCGAGCTGCTCCTCTAAACAGTTTCTTAGGAGAGCTTTTGGTTTTTGTGCGAGTTATCTGTTTATTCATTAAAAAAATTAATTATTAAATACACAAATTCTTTCCTTAATTATTAAAATGACGAATTCTTTCCTTTTAATGAACTTTGATGTTCATATCTTTATTAATGACGAAATTCTAATCTAAGAGATATATGTCATAAGAAGTTTTATTTCTAATTATATTTTTAGTTTTTTAGTTTTATTTTTTATTATATTTAATAAATTATTAGCTGTTTCAACAACTCAATTATTGTGGAATTTGAATGTGTAGAATCAAGAAATATGGTATTAGCAGTAGCATCTAATCTTTCCAAAACTGAACACAAGAATGTTTTTATCAGACCTGATCGAAAAATTGCAGAACAAGCTGAGTTTAATTTGCTTAACATTGAAAGAAATACAGCAAACAGCGATCTTGAAAAACATGGTAATCTTGATGACCCATTTCGATTTGTCATCCGCAGTGACAGGGTCTGCTGCATCAATGTATCCAAGACCTTTAAAATCAACGGCCGTTCAATACACTCATTTGTTGAATGGCAAAAAGCCCACATTGCACGCTCAAAACCGATCAATAAACAATAATATCAATGATACTATAAAACCATCTACATCAGCCTAAAACTGTTCAAACAAGCCATCAAATACTTTTTAAAGCCAAGAAATCAATTCAAATATCTTCATGCAAATTAAACTACAAAAAAAAAAGCTGATCAAATCACAGAAAAACAAGATAGCAGAAAGTTATTTAAAATGCTGGTACACAAATGCTACATCGTTAAATAATAAATGTAATGAGTTGTTAATTGAGGTTGAGAGAAATTCACAGAATATAAATATGGTATGCAAGACATGGTGGACAGGTAACTCGGTAATTAATATTCCTGGGTATTGCTTATATAGCAATAATAGAGCCTTCGGAAAAAGTGGTGGAGTGTGTATATATATTGCTAAAACTTTAAACTCTTTCAAAATTTCCAATACTGAACTTCAAAGTAACCTAATTGTAAAGATTTGGTGTTCTTTAAATATTGGTAGAGAAAAACTTATATGTGGATGTATTTATCGTACTGGAGATAGTGACATATACAACTGCATAAATGTAATGAGGTCAATTGAAGCAGCCGATAAAATGATATTGAATAAAAAAGCAAGTGGTATTCTCTTATGTGGGGATTTTAATTTCCCTTAAATCAATTAGAACGATTCTGTAGGGAAAGTAACTGGAAAAAAAGAAAAAGCGCAATTATTTATAGATGGCTTAGATAAATTCTATATGTTCCAAAACGTAATAAAACCAACATTTCATTTTGAAAATAATTAAAATATTTTGGATCTGGTAATAACAGAAAGAAATTCAAGAATTTTTAATTTAGTACTCCACTCACCACTTCAATATGGACTAGAAGGGGTACAGCCGGACAAATTTTTTTCCTATATGTATATATATATATATATATATATATATATATATATATATATATATATATATATATATATATATATATATATATATATATATATATATATATATATATATATATATATATATATATATATAGACACACACACACATATCAGGCCTTAGAATTAGGGTCAGCATTCGGCAATGCCGAGATAAAAGTGTTTGAGGTCGGCAAAAAAAATTCCCAGCTTATTTCTTTGTTTTATATGTGTTGAAATATTTTTGCTGACCCTCTAACAGAGCAATTTCATGACTGTCACAGCGTGACAACTGTCTTTTTTTTTGTCTTAAGCCTTCATTATTTTAATATTAAAATAGGTATAAAAATTATTTTTTTTGTTATTTAATTAGCTTATAAAAGGTGCTACAAAAAACAAGAAAAAAAATTTGGGTGGATATATAAGGCTCTCATTCATACAAAAAAAAAAAAAATGTCACAGCGTGACCAAAATTTTCTCATTGTTTTTTAGTTTTTAGATCAACGCCGCAATTCAGCTAGTATGGATGAACTGAATTATTATCTTGGCATTAAACAAAAAATTTAGGCAAAAATCTTACAAGTTTTATAGCTAAATAACATTTTTTAAATTAAATTTTGAACAGGCACACCTTTAATTAACTAGTGGTAAACGTCACAGCGTGACCAGAAACATTTGGGTAATTATAAACCAGGTAAATGGGCTGTTTTTAATAAATTTAAAACTTAGTAAAGAGGTATTAGACAAATATATAATTACATCTTCATAAAAATAGTTCTTACATATAATAATTTTCAGAACACGCCCATACTATTTTAGTGTCAAATCGCGTCCATATTATATTGCTGTCATATATACAAAGTTTTGAAGTTTTTCGGTGATTTTATCTGAAGACGTAAGTTGTTTCACTAAATATTTGGCACTTGAATAGGGTGACATTTCTATTTTCCCATTGTTGTTTTGACTTAGGTGCGCTGCAAATATTCCTGGTTTTGCTGGTGCTTTTGTAAATAACTCATCAATTTTAAATTTTTTAACTGTATTTATAACATCTTCCATAGAATCAATATAGACATTGAAATTAGTCTCATTTTTAACAGCTTGATGAAAAGTTATGGCATAAGTTATTATAAATTTTCTCTGAATTATTTTTTGCGTTGCTATTCTTTTAACGGTCCCACCAATAGCATCTACCGGTCCTTTCCCATGTGAAGCAGCAAAAAAGTTCTAGAATAATTTTAAATTAGGGTATCGCTGATGCAATAAAACAATTTTTGAATTGATTACTCGGCCCATCTGTCCAAACCTGTAGTATTTTAACACTTGATTTAATATGGTTAGATAACAAAGTATGAACAAATACCATAATAGATTCTTTCGAGTGGCTTAAATTATCTGAAACTATGACAGCTGATGAGCATGAATTTTGGTATCAAAATACAGCAGTAAACAGTAACTTAACTCTTGTGCCAATGTGCTGACTGCACTTCATCTTGCCACAAAGTTGAAAAATTTTCAGCAAAATCTACTTGAAGAACAGCTGTGTCTGGATTACTTTGAAGTTGGATCTTATGATCATGATATGTTTTTGATTGTTTCTGTTTAATAAAATAATGCCAAAGAAATGAAGGTAAAGATTTTGAAAAGGTGTTGTAAAGATCATCAACTCTTCCCTTTTTTTCAATTTTTTTAATATATTCTTTTCCATTACCTTCTGCAACTTTTTCCCATTGATACCGTATAATGCATTTATTTTTGTCAATTTCATTCAAAACATATAGATTATGAAACTTTGCAGCATCTTTGCATGTTGTACACATATTGTTATAACAAATTTCTTTTTCACTATCACATACAATGCTAAGAGGAAATTCATGTGAATACAATAGAAAATTTGAATCAAACTTGTGCAGGGCTTCAAGGATAAGGATTATATTTTGATGTTGTTGACAACAACAAACGTTTTTTGACATTAAACTAGACAAAAGCACATGTGATGGGCGTAAACTAGCAAACTTTGATTTTCCAACTGATTCTTCAGGATAATCACTTTTAAAAATAGCATAAGCTTCATTAACATTCATATACAAATGACGTTTTTGCACAGTTTCTTTCTTGTTCTTTAATCTTACCACAATGGTGTCTCTTTAACCAGGTGCTTGACGGGATATATTATCACGCTGGTAAAAATCAAGAACCAATTTTACAGTTAAAGCATCTAATGCATTTTC